CTTGCCTGAACAGGCAAGTGCAATTTCAAGCTACTTGCCTGGGGGCGAATTTTGATTGCCCCGGGCCATCGGGCAAGCGGGTTTGTCGAGCCCGGCACCGCAGGATTTGAATTTTGGCTGAAAATCTAGTGAACAGCAGGACCACCAACTTCAGAAAGTTGGTGGACCTGCAACAAAAATTTGGTGGTTCGCTTATTTACTAGCAGTGAGTAACAAAATAGTATATAAAGATAACCATTGGCATTAAAACAGCATACATGTAACTTAATTAGAGTTGGTCAAATAATGTTTCAATCTCTAGGAATGTCGTGGGAGCTTCTGGGTAAGGTTTTACTTTCGTTTTTCTCCTCCCCAGTCCACGGTACCCCCATGCACAGGCACTTGGGCCGTTTCAATAATAAAATGATGGTTTTAATAAATACAACTTGTCATTACTAGACCTACCAGTACCAGTAATAGTCTTAATGTTTGATTTGACCTAATAACTTCACTTCAATACTGTCCAATACACTGCTGCAACACATAGCGCGCACGCCATTGTGCACAAATACACAGTAATATAGAGTGTCTATATAGAGCTCTATATAACTGTGTATTTGTGCATAATGGCGTGCGCGCTATGTATTGGACGGTATTGAAGTGAAGTTATTAGGTCAAATCAAACATTAAAGGGACAGTAGCCTCTAGGATTTTACTGCATACAACTGTACTTACTTTATAACAAATCGTCTATACCCACATGTATTTGTCACCAGATACTTAATTAATTATTTACACATCAACGCTACGAAATTTGAACGGCGCCATGACACCCGCGACCGTGCTGCCACCCTGAAAAAGTTGCGTATTTGCATTTTTATTTTGCAGGTAAATGACCGAGAGCTAATAACAAAAGTGCAATTATATTTATACCTAAATGCTATTTAACCGAACGATATTCATTTTAGGGCAAATTTATCCATATTATAACTGAAACTATATGTCGTTTATAAGATATTACAATCCTTTTGCTTTTAAATGAATAAATAAGAAATTCCCTCGGTCTGTAGCCCTTGGCTGGAAAGTGGACTTCTCAGATCGTGCGCTTTGAGTGGCGCCACCGTCGTTGTAATCAAACTGTAGTCGTTAGTTTTAAAA